AATACTTTGGATATTTCGATAATATTACATTATTAAGAAGTAATAGGGGAATATAAAGATATGGGCACTTTCTCCTGGAAAATCCAGTCATAGACACAAAATAAAAGAGCTCCGAATTTTACGATATATTTCATGCGGAAACTGTGTCCGACTTTTTACTGGTTTTTGCTTAAAAGTGTAACCAAAAAATTTTAAAAATTTCTCGAAAATTTTTAAAATTGATAACAAATATTTGATCATCAATATTTTTTCGAGATCACTCGTACCGGTGAGATTTATTATCTCCGTTAAATAGCAAATCCAAAAAAAATGTTATGACAAAATACAACTCCAAGTTCGATTACGATTCTGTCGACATAACCGAGCAATTTAATTATTATGCGGTTTAAATTGAACTTCCTGACAGCTGAATGACATAACTTGTTCATAATGTCAACTGATGCATTATAGATCCATACCAAAGCTATTTAATAATTATGTCACTATCGGCATTGAAATTTATTAAGATCAACTTTTAGGGTACATGACAACGAAATTGAGGACATTTAAACAGCATTATAGCGCCACACAAGTTAAATAAGGCAAAGACATTAAAATATATTTTACGAATTTAGAATATATATAATCGGACAAAAGGATATATTAGAGTGAGCATAAAAACTGTCTCTCCGAAGTGCTATAGCGGCTCAAACTCTGGGTTAATCTTTAGTTGAAATTTAGTGGCGTTGCAAATCGCTAGTTCTAAAGCTCTCATTTAAATTAGAGGATATTTTAAATTGCCAGTTTTGTAATACTGATTTTCACACAAAATGAAGACATGAGTATAAGTGCTCATGTCTCACTTAAAGCCATGAATTAGTTAGGTATCTCATTAAGCAGAGAATTTTGTTTTGAGACTTTTACAGGATCACCCAAAGTTAAGCAAGATTGAAACTAAATAGAAAATACAGTTTAAAGTTTCACATATCATTTTTATGGAATTTATGGCAAAATATAAAAGCCGACAAATACCAATTTTAAAGTATCACAAATTTCCATCAATATAAGTGGTTTAAGGCCAGGTGGAAAGTGTGAAATCACTATAAGGGTTCTGGACTCATTGAATTAAGGTTTGACATTACTCAACTTTTACTCGAGAATATATTTTCATGCACTTTTGTGAAGATAATTCACATGCTGAACTGACATATTGGACATTACGTCTAAGTTTCTAAGAATAAGGAAGTTGGGGTAGTACGTATACCAATTTTATCCATTTTAGCATAAGAACTTACTATTATTAGATTGCGATTCCATTATTGATCGGTATATATTAGATATATGAATTTATTGCACGAGTGCGTACTAATATCGGGAAAAGATTCTCCCTGAATTTCAATGAAATATTTCAGAGGTGTGCCGATATCGAGCGCCAAAAATCAGCTGGTTGCACCGAGGTTCACATATTTAGGTTTTCCAACATGAGGGTTAAATGGAGAGTGTGCGGCGTTATCATCCCGTTCACCAAATTTTCACATTTTCGGAGAATGCACCAGAGACCGGTGTGGTTCAGGGACCAATTACGTTCAACAGCAAGCCTGAGCTCACAAAAAATTGGATCAAAACCTTTCTAATGCTTATAAAGTATACATACAATAGGTGTTTAATTTTGCATTCATTTAGAATATGCAAAAAAATGTAGATATTTTTCAGATTTTTGCGCTAACTACTGGACGAATTTCCAAAATCTCTTCCATTCGATTGAAATTTTAATTAAAACAATAAACACATGCCAAACTGAAAAACCAGAGCAACAGGGGTTTGTTGCCTGTGGCTCTTTCATAGCATCCACCTACAGGTTTATTGCTTCAATTTGCAGCGTTGGCTTGAATCATGTGAGCGAGCGGGATAAAGAGGCGGGCAGTGCGCGGCAATTGTGGCCCACATGCGTGCGTGATTGTATTCGAGTGTGAAAGTAGTTAATTATAAACATTAGGGGGCTGCCAAGGAACAAAGCGCACCTAAAAAGGTGCACAAACGGAAAAGAATGCACACACACAAGAACACTTGGTGCTTTTTTGACAAACGAAGACTAGACCGAAACGACATTTGGGGTACTACTGTTTCGCCAAGAACAGAGAAGGAAACAACAAAAGCAACATGTAAAACAAGCGACCAGCTGCCAGCCGCAATGGCGCGGAAAAGGACAGTAAAAGTAACAAAAAAATATCAACAAAAGATACAAAAAAGTGCGTTATTTTCCCTATTGAAGTTGCAGCTATCCACTCTGAAGTGTCAAAAATCGCTTCGGTGCGGCGTTGACTCGGAAGCCAAGAAGCCTGCGCGAGTCTGGTGGCTGAATGGGTGAGTTAAGCAGTGGCTCAGCATGTGGCTAAGCCGATCATAATTCTTGTTTGCCAGACAGACAAACAGACAGATAGTGGAGCAACGTTCCTAAAGCCACTTTCAAAGCATATTCCAAATCGTTGCTTATGCTTTACGCCTCTTCTGTTGCATTTATGTGGAACCTTATTGTTTTGTCTCCCTTTTTTTGGTGGGCTCCATTCGATTCTGACCATTTTTCTGCCCTCCTTTACTGCGGCCCTTCTTGTGAGTGTCCAATACACGACCATTGTTATTCTTATTGTTGAGTTTGTTTTGTAGAAAATATTTGCTCATGTGTCAAGTGGCAGCGGGCAATTTGTTCCCACTGTGTTCCTATAAGTTAGTTAGTCGCACGAGCAGCATAGTGGTTGCCGGCGGTCAAAACCTGCTGACTGTTCGCTGCCTATCCGTCTCTTGTTCACTTTTTCATAAGCGGCTGCTGCATTTGCGCGTCATATTTACATGTTAATGTAATTTAGCTGTGAGCTATAAATTTCAAACACTGATATCTATTACTGTTCAACTGGTGTTACCGGATTAATAAAACCATGGCCGCAAAATAGAGTCTTACATACATACATATGTAGATGCGCAATGGGGCGCAGACGCGACTCAACGCGCGAGCGCTCTGCGTGAGTGGAGAAAGCCGTCAAGGCGTATTTGAATGGATATTGCGCCTAGACGTCTTGGAACCAGCCGCTATCTTTCCGACTAGATGAATCGATTTCTTTTCCAACTTTTTAATTCTGCTTTAATGTTATGAAATAGAGTATGAATGAATTCGAGAGGGCTTTGTGTGGTGGCATTGTTAGCTTAAGTGGAATAAGATTTCTGTTTGTTAGGCAATTTGTTAATAAAGTAACATTTTTCGCTTACAATGTCGGATTTTGAACTTAAGTTTGTTAGATAGCATTTCTTATTGACTGCCTAAATTAATTGCATGCATAGTGTTTAGTGAAGAACGCGTGTGACCGAATACGAGCGAAGTGCTCAAAAACGGAAGTTGTCAGTGTAACCGATTGACTATCATTGTCAGTGTTAATCAGGTTTTTGTAATGTATTCTACCATATTTAAACTTAACTGATTGAGTAGCGGTGAAGTATCATTGTTGGAGATACAATATCAAAACCTCTTTTTTGTAATAAAATTGGAAATTATTTGAAAAAATGGGTAATAATGATAATATAAATGAGGGGTAATCAAGAGTTCGGATTTGCCACACATTGTTAAAGAGGCCTTCAGGCGTCTGTTGGCTTAACCATAGTGATAAATGTAAGCACGGATATTTTATATAACATATATTCTGAAACCGAATCTCTTTCTAAATATATTATAATTTTTTCGAACTTTTATATAACTCTTCAGCATATTCGCTGCACATTTGTTACACTGAGAAAAGCGTTTTTTATAAAATATACTTTAGCAATATTTAATCGTAGGCAAAATGGCACTGAAAAGTTAAAGAAATTTGACATCATTCAAATATGTATAGACCACACGCTGTCGGCATAGACGCGCCTAACGAGTGGGCTTGTGAATGAATATGTATTTCTTATATATCACCATAAAATGGGCAACACTGAATCGATTTTTGAAGTTAATTACAAATTTTTTTGTAATAGGTTCTTATCTTTCAAACCATTCATGTTAAAATAAGCAAATTTGTTAAAAAAAAAATACCAATTAATCAATAACTAAATGCACTACGGATAGACTAGACTTTTAGGGTGTGGCATCGCTCACTTTTATGTAATATCATATATCTCGTTACGCGATCAACCGATGTCAACCAAGTTAAGTATATAACATTCATTTAAAACTCAGAAGTCGCAGTACGAAATGGATGAACCACGCCTACTTCCCATTTAGCACAGTTTTGGACCAAAACTGTTCACGCCCCTAGATACCAATTATGTGGACCCCATATATAGTTTACTTTTTACCGAGAAATTTCGGGGAATGTGTGAGATTTGGAGAAAATAATTGCCTGATAAAAATGGGTTAAATCGGGTCAATACTTCTCTTAGCGCCCATATATAAAAGTAGTACCAAATATAAAGGTTTTCGAATTTTCGAATTTCCGGGTGACTTTATACCACATATATCGACCAATGCAATTCACGTGTTAATAAAATTTAGAGAGCTTATTTTTCCAATAACGGTGCATCCTTGTGCTTAGAGTAAAATAGAAATTTTGAAAACTAGACCATAGACTAACAAGCCTTATGTACCTGATGGTATTACCCCGGCCGGCTTTAATCTTTGTAAGTTGCAAAAGTATGAAAACTTCGGTTTTACCCAAATATAGCCCTTCCTTACTGCTTACAAAATATCACGCTGCTGCCGGATTGCTTGTTAAGTCTCATGTTAGTTTTATGCATATCTGTATTAGACGCCTAAATGTGTCTGTAACGGGTTAAGGGGAGATCAGGTACACGGTTCAATAAATCAATTCGAGACTTTTTCAAAAGACTTGAACTTCCTACAGAAAAAAAGATCATTTTTTAAAACATGAATGTTGAAAATTTCAATTCACAAGATTGCAGTTGCATTGCATATAGGAAAAAAATGAAAAATTAGTTTATTTAATATAATACTGCAATTGTTCGAAGATTTCAAATAAGTAACTACTTACCTTAATATTTTAGTCATTTCCAGTTAATCTTTTGGTATCTCCGTAGTGAAACTCAAATCAGTTTATGTTGCAGCTAAATGCTGCTTTAGTATGTTTATAAAGAACACCTTTTGTTGTGACTCTGGTGCCTATAAATATTTATGGATACTTAGTTCAGGCACAGAGTGTTTTACAAGCGCGATGCGTGTCACTTTGGCGAGTTATTCGAGCCTGTTGTTTTTTTTACATACATCTGTATGTTATGAATATGAATTTGTAAGCTGTGGGTTTGGCCACTGCACGATTTAAAAGTAATAAACTTGTTGAGAATTTTTATGTGATTTCGTATCGGCTTCGACGTAAATTGTGCATCGGAGAATTTTGTCATTTCTACAGCAGCTTTCAAGCTACAAAATCAGTGCTTTGCTCGTCATTGTTGCTGTTGCACTCGATGGCCCAATTTGAAACACTCTTCCTAGCCCAAACGAAGGTCACACACACAGGCGCATATATAACTTAGATGCGGTTACTTTGATTAGATATTGGGCTTTGTATGAACGGATATTCCTTCACTAGCATCACATACATAAGCACAGAGACGATACAAGTAACGAATTAAAAACTTTTACAATCAATAAACGGTTTTGACCGGTGTTATTGTTGTATTTAATATTTAATTTTGGTTGTTGTATATAGACCTTTATGGTTGTGACTGCGCGTTCACGATTTATTATTGCAGTTGGCTTCAGCCTTTCTACGGAATAACTTTTTGTGATTAATTTTTTTATTGCTATTTATAATGTTTATTCGACACAAGTCGGACTATTCAGATACATATTTAGGTGCATAGATATAAATGTATGTACATTTTATTGACTTTGGCTCGCTTCACTGACATTTCGGGAAACTTGCTCTATTCTTTGATTTTATCACTTTAATTGTATGTTTTACTGTTCTTGTGTGTTCCTCTAATAGCATGTATTGTTTCTGAAAATAATTTATTCATATTTTTATTTAACTGATTATTTTAGTTCTCCCTTTGAATATCGCTCCGTTAGATTCATTTTATCCACACACTCGGTTTCAACGATTTTATTAGGCCGCTATCAAGCATCGGGGTTATAATAAAAAATATATAAATATATAAAACATACTCTGCTCATCAAGCCTCTGCTGTCTCATCAGCTTTAAATAGTTTTTTTCATGTGGAGAAATGTAAAAAATTTAAAATAACTCTAATAAGGAATCGAATGCAAATGAGTTTTTTATCCTCCACTATACAAATAAAGCAGGTAAAGCTTTTAACTTGGTAATTTTGACATAAAAGCAAATCTAAGTTATTTTTAATAACTCGAATGAGCGTTAATTAGGGTTAATGCATTATGCTTTGAATGTCGGTATTTTCTATGCAAAATGTCAGTTTTCAACGGGTAACTGAAAGTGCTTGAATACCCTCACGAAACACTGAAAACTTCTGGTAGAGGGAAGTTGCTAATAAACAAGAAGGGAAACAAGAAATTATAGAGAATTCTTCACGAATATATGTACATACATATATAATATAAAATAGGAAATAACTATCAAACTTGCTATTTCTGCGTATTTAAATATATTATCTGGAAGTAAAATCAAAATCTATACCAACTTTTCAGTGCTCGCTGATAATTGCAAGCAATTTATTACATATTCAAATTAAGTGCAACAGGGACGGCACGTATTAAATAATGTTATTTTAAAAGTAATCGGCACCATTATCTTTTGAAGTGCCATATATATAGCAAAATTTATTTAACTAATATCCAAAATTCAAAAATTCAAAATTTCAAATTTATTTGATAACAATACTTCATATTTTTCTAGCCTTTTCACTAAATGCACCCTTAAAATGGAATCAGAAGTTACCGACGGCAAAATTGATTTCGATAGAAACTGTTACAACATCGCTGTTATATAACTGATGAGATATTTACGGTATTGTACAGTGCGGATATTTGAAAAAATCGAATTTCTTATTAGACAAATGGTGCGTTTTCTGATAAGTAAGTTTTAAAAGCCCTTGAATCCATGTTTCTTAATGGGGATCACATCGCCTTGACGTTGTGATTTAGGGGTGGGTGGGCACAATAGACCTTAGGTTGTGGTGCAAACCTTATTTATCTGTCTAGCTAATAGGTAGAAAGAGCTTTGTTTTTCAATCTACTTCAATGGGGATATTATTATTAGGTTATTTATTGATGGCTTTTGATTTTTTTCTTTTCGCTGTATTTCAATAACATCCGTAGCGTTTCCACTCAAGGATATGTATGTATTATACAAGTTCCCATATATTAGTGCCGAAACACAAAAAATCACTTCAAATAGTTTTTGTAATTAATATTTTCTTTTATCCGCCGTAATGCAGTATATATGTATGCATGTGTTTGGTATATCGTTCCATTCGATTTATCCAACTTACAAACAAAGTTATTTAGCACACTAGAAACGCACAACGGAACGCGCCAGCATTTGAAATTCGCGTCGGCCACGTTTTCAAAACCGCCGCGTGAAACTGGAGCCAATTGAAAAAGTCACACAACTGAGTTGAACTTTTGTGGAAATTTGGCTAAAGCGAGAAGAGCGCCAAAGAACCAAATGAGACATACAAAAACAGCAGCAACAATAACAACAATAAACACTCCGAATAAAATCGAAGAAAAAATCGAAAGAGAACAAACGACAAACGACCAACGACACGGGCCAAAACAATTTCACAGATACGCAAAAAAATCCGAATCCAATCCAATCCAGTTCAACACTCCAATACGAGTGCGAGTTAGTAGAATGCCACAACGCCAACAATAATGCACAGTAGAAGAAAAAGCACACAGGCACAACGAATACGGCAATGCTTGGGGATATGTAAATGGCGCTGGAGTTATGAGCTGTTTGTTGGCGTCTGACGGCAGTGGGGATGGTATTGAGCAAGCAACGACCACCACGACGACTACATCGCTGGCAACGTCGATGACGAATATGTGAATACGAAGAGGCGAAGTTGGATTTGCGAATAGCAAATGCGAATGTAAACCTCATCCCCACAGTAGGTAAATACTTCATATACATACATACATATGTATATCTATCTATCGACATACTTACATACATATATATTTGTATATTCATATGCAGTGCAAGTGGATTCATATGCATGTATGTACATATGTATGTACGTATGGAATACGGCATACAACGGTTAAAACGTTTTAATTCGCATATAATTAATTCCCATTTATTTACCTAGATACATATGTCCATGTACTATAGATATGTACATATATCCGACCTACTAAGGAAATATGTGTTTAATTTAACATTTTTCGACAGTGATAAAATGTAATAATTAATTATTTTTATATTCATATACAACAAACCTCACCTCATTCAAATAATAATGAGCACTTTGCTACTCACCATGGCTCAAAGAACAAGCATTGGCTCTCATATCATAGTCAATGTCCATTTACTGTTGTAAAACTGTCTACAGAGTTCCATACGTATAAGTACGAAAGTGGAGAGCTAAGTTCAGACAACAACAATAACATAGAACACTAGCTGTGTGTAAATACAGAATTGTTCACAGAAAGAGCTGGTAAGAGTTTCCTTCTCCCCTACTGACATTGGTGGTGTTTTGTTATTGTTGCAAAGGTATGTACACTGGACGTTGTTAGCCATATTGTTGGTTACGGTGCTGCCACAAGACCTTGGGGCATCGAAATGCCGCCCCAAATATGCAATAAAATACACAACGATCACACAAACATATACATGCTTATAACATGCAGATACAACCGATACAAATGTTCAAAATTTTGCTCTTTTCTTTCATTTTATAGAAATATTTGCTGATATCAAAAGTGAAGTAAGAAGTTTAAGATAAAGTTTTCTGTAAAATTTCCATACATACAGAATATTCATATGTGCAGACACATAGGTACATACATATGCACATGTATATAGGCACATGCGAAGAGTTTGAAAATAGTCTGTGATTTTGGTTTTAGCACATTTATTATCGATTTTCCCAAGAAAATAACAAATTGTCATTGAAACTGGTATTGCGACATCAATTTTTTGCTCTTTTAATATAGCTTTAACGGAAATTATAATATTTAATTATATAGTTAAACAGAACGCAAAACTATAGAGATTGAGAGAATACTTTTAGTAATGTGGAAGTTGTTGAATTGAAACTAATTTACTATTTGCTTTATTTACGGTTTGTTAAGTCTAGAAAAAACTAAGGAAATTATCGCGGGATACTAGTAGGCGTCTAAAATTTAAAACATATCTTCGTTTTGTATTTTAGATAAATTTGAGAGTTCAAATTGAAAGAAACTTCGACAGCTGGTGCACATAGGAATGTAGTAAAATTTGTCGAATTAATATATAAACTTTTGGAATGTTAATATCCTAAGTATTTTCTAGCTTTAATTTTAACCTTTTTTTTATCAATAGGACAAAGGAGTTTGGTCTAGTAATCAATTATACATATTTCTTTACACGTAAATGTAAAACATGCGAAATTAATTTAGGTATAATTATAGTCCACGCGCTATGGAAACATGGTATTTAACAAAAGATTCAAAACCTGTCAAATTATTTGATTATTTTAGAAATATTAAAATCAATTACTGAACCTAGTATGTATTGATATACATATGTCTAGGTAAATATTTGGTTTACTTTTATTCCGTTTTTAGTTTTAATTTGTACGAAAATTGTTTAGTTTACTAAACACAAAACAAAAAAAGTTTTATTTTGTTTTAAAAATTAATTGACTTCTATTCTGGAGTATATAGTCAACCACAAAATGATTTTATTAACGAATAAGTTTAAATTAAGCTACTGACACATACTGATGCGAGTATTCACTTCAATATGTAAGACAAATGACATACAAATCTTAAGCACAGTTCAGGAGAATGAGTAATAAAATGAGGATTTTGACCGCCGAAATGAATTCCATGAGTTTGTTGGAGATTGAAAAGGTATCCAAATGAAAAACAGTTTATTCGAAAACGTTGTGGATTCATCGTTATTTGTTTTCTGTTTCATAAATTCTGTCTTCTTAGCCATTTTTATATTGGCATGCAATTTAAATAGCATTAAAAGAGTGAGGTAGATTCTAAGGACACAAGAAGCCTTTTCGGCAAATTTTTTAATCTATCTTATCTATGATATCTCGACTTTCAATATTTAATATTCTTTGTATTCACGTTTACACTTTGAAATCAAGTTTTCTTAAATATGAAAAAATTAGTTTTAGTAAACATATTATTTTTATTCACTTGGAAACACTTGTACACTCATAGAACATGCAAAAATTATAAACAAAGATTGGAATGCGGATAATTATGTGTGTAACTTTTCTTCTGTTGCGAATATTTCACGTTTACTCTTTAACCGTTCTTTTTAGTTTTTAAATAGATGTATTTCTATACAACTGAACATTAAAGACAAGTTTAGGGTTTAACTTGGAGCAGAGAGTCTTAAAATTTAGCTTTAATAATGTCGCTAGTTACTAAAAAGTTCCGATTTAAAATACTAATATGAATAGATATATGAAATTATTAAAGTTTAAGATTTTACTTGAATTCATTTAAATTTTGCACCTATCCCAACACTGTGGATACTGCTACAAAAAAAGCGTTTGTAAAACGTTTGTAATTATTTAATCAAAATCAATCAACTTCGGTTTTGAATTGAGAAAATTTTGGAGAGCTTAAGTAAATATTTACTTAATTCGAACGACTAAAAGTGAATTCGCGTCCAGACGCGCACGTCAACAAATCAAACTGAAGGAGAGATTAGAAAAAATATGCAACCATTCATACGAATATCTATGCTATTTAATTCATACACATATACATATCTATATACCTGAATACCACTGCATTTGAGACGATTGAGAATGTGAACAAGCAAATAAACTGCCATGTCAAGGTGTGAACATGTTGGCAAGCTCGCCCAGGAGGATGGAAAAGCCATGGTTGGAGCTTGAATAGAAGTAAAGGTTGAAGTTAGATGAAACGGCCTACTGCAATGAGGGATACAGTCATCGGGGAGTGAAACTCGCACAGAAGTCCGCAGACCAAAAGTGTAATCGACGTCTGTGGCACAGGCAAAGAGAACACATAAAACTCGAATCAAATTGAGAAATTCAATAAATGAATTTAAAGGAAAGGAAAAATCGTAATATTTTCCTTGAATGTGCAAACAGCACGTGTGCATTATCATATTTTAAATATCTAAACCAACCCAAAGTCTTAATCCAAATATGTACGTCTTTCAACGAAACTGAGAAAATGTAGTAACATGAACTCTCAGTAATTGCACTTCACTTCTAGACTATGTGTATTTGATCAATGAATATGGTAGCAGATTTATACGCAAGCATCCAAGAGAGCGAAGCTCGAGAGGTCCATGCTCGCTGCACTGTACATTTGGTTCGAAAATCGTCAGGAGTTACATAAACTACATATTGGCACGCATTTCGTTTAGGTGGCTATGAGTAAGTAGTTTTTTATAAATCTGGTCCGATATACACCAAAAGTGGCACTCACCAATACTAATACCGGTATAGACCAAAAGTGGCGCTCACCAATACCAACACACAACTGCCAACATAAGTACACACTCTCCATTTATTGAAGGGAGCGAATGCAACCAATGTACAACTTGTCCAATGCAACAACGCCAATGGTGAACAGCGACAAAGAATACACACCCCTTTTATATACGTACATGTGTATATAAAGCAAAATGAAATATGCAGGGGGCAGCGCGGACATCGCGTATAAACGAGCGATGGCAACCGCCAACTGTGGCGCAGCAGGTGGCTATGCTCAATAGAAAGAGATAGCTCTATGACACAAGTATTCCAACAACTGGCATTTGTCGCTCTGCGAAGCACTTGTTGCCATCACACCTTCATACATTGAGGCTACAACTTCGCCACCGCTCTCAGCGAAATGGGCGTTGCCTTTTGGAGTAAAGTAGGCAAGCAGTCTTTCATTATACAAGTATGTAAGGTTTTGGGTGTTTGATATATACTTGTTTCGTAGTTAGTACAAATGATAAACATACATACATATACGGATAACTTGCAACTTGTGTTGTTTTCATAAATGCTCAGTTGAATTAAAAAAAGTTCTAAATTTTTAAGACTTGCTTATCCATTTCCATTTGAGAATACTCTGCAAGCATTGAGTTTACTATAAAATGTAAACGACGCAGGCGCTTGTGATGCTACTTCGTATGAAATTATTCCTATAAATCGACTTTTCATAACAGAGTTTCACATTTAACTTGAATAACAGTCTAATATTTTATACATTAAACATGTGAAAGACATTTTAAATTCATTCTAAGACGTTTCCAAAATTGAGTATAATTTCCATAGATACCGCGAATTGCATATTTAGGTCACTCAATTGTAAAGAAAAATATTATGTTTTCATAGTATGCAAATTTGTTTTTCTTGACAACTTCATAGTAAACAAATTATGTATTTCATCCAAAAAATGTTAATAATGCAAATAATTGCATGATTTTGTGTTTCAAACCCAAAAAG